AACAAAAAATTTCCGCGTTGTCACTGTTTAGAAAAACACATAAAACACTTGCAGAGTCGTATGCAAAACCTTATGTGATGAATATGACAAAAATTATGTTATCAAAGTTACTGCCTACGATCCGACAAACCTTTCCACAAGAGAGTGGTTTCTACCCCCCCCCCCCGGTGATTAACCCCAACAAGCCGGGAAAAACAGCTTGAGTGCGTCCTCATGGGAGCATCCAAATTTCAAGGTTCTTTCCTCGAAATAGTTCTTCCGTTCGGTTCAGATTTGCTTCAAAGCATTCTGGCCGTATGAATGGGGTTCCATCAATCAGCATCAATATGCCGTATCTGCTGATATTGAAGAAATGTTCCTTCACGTTGGTGTAATTGCCGATGATCAGATATCACTGCGGTTCCTGTGGTTGGAGGATACCACAGCCGAAGTGGTAAAGTACGAATACGAACGACATACCTTCAGAGCTCTGGACCGAGCCCCAACTGTGCTAACTACCCACTTCAGAAAAATCGCTCGTTGCAATCAAGCCTCTTTTCCACACGCAGCTTCTGCAATGTTGAAAAAGTTCTATTCGAATACTTATCTCGATTTCATGAAACATTTCAAAGAAGCATTGAATTAATAAAAGACCTAATAAAACTTCTGAGACTGGAAGTTTCAAAATGAAAAAGTTTGTAAGTAATGCAAATAATATACAAAATGATTGAAATACGTCGGGCGACGAAGTAGATCAAGTCTAGGATATCTTAGGCAGTGCAGTCAGAGCATCACATGTACTAAATTTTAAATAGCACCACATAAATGACACATTAGCTGCCACAGCCGAGTTTTGAGAACTGAAAATGAAAATTAGACAGCGCAAGGTCCTACGCTTTGTCTCATCAGTTTTCGACTCTAATGGATGAGTCGCTCCATAGACGGTAAGAGCCATTCTCTTCAAGAAAGAAAGCCGTAGACCCGGGGGTCAGCAATGGGATGACCCGTTTCTGGAAAACTTGACTAAAAGTTCCTTGAGTGGGATTCTGGCCTACCCAACTTTTGACAGCAAACCAACCCGCGCTGCAATTTTTTTGTGTCTAGTTGACAAAACTGAACTGTATATGTTTGACGTCAGTTCTCAAGAAAATTTCAGGCAGTTGGTTTTCTTCGTGCGCGCAAATTGAATATTCAAGAGACCAAATTCTCCATCGTTCTAGATAAAGCCAAAGCTGCGCTATTGAAAGATTTGTCTATCCCTAAACTTAAACTGAAAGCTGCGTTTTTTGCCACACACTTTAAGGAGGATACTGATAAAGCAATCACTGTCAATATAAACGATGTCATCACGTGGAAAGTCAGCGCCATTAAGCTGCAGTGACTCATTTTGTCATCAAAGCAATTAGTTTCTTTCGCAAATCGAGTACGCGAAATACTGGATGTCCTTATCGTCGATGAAATCTGTCAATTCGACACCAGAAAAAAAAACCGCGGGTACGGGCCCTCAAGTTTTAAAAGAGGGCCGATGGACATAAGGTTCAAGTTGCTTCAGAACCTTTAACAGGCCCTTCCTTCCAGAAATTGACGTAGTCATTAGAACAAGAGTCAAATTTCCCTCTGATGATGTTAATGGTACCACCTCTCAATTCATCGAACGCCCGGCACCAATCGAACCCAATATCAAGTTCCGTTATTACCGTGGAGCAAATTTTAACAAATATCTTCTGAGCTCGAAAATGCAAAAAACAAGATTTTGTTTCTCTTTCCAAGAGAAGCTTGGCGTCAAGTTTAAATTTTTAAATTCTTAGAAACGTGTAAGCAATGTAAACCTTATCGCAACATCTTCCCATTCATCGATACTGGTGGTCTACTCTGGTAAAAAGGTCGCAAAAGTTGTCCTTGAGAAAAAAAATCTAGAGCAAAACACCCTATAGCAAAGTTATTTGTATTTTTACTGCACAATCATCGCGAGCATCAACCTTTGGACTATCTAAGTTCGGTCATCCAGACAACTAATGCCGTCTTGGAATTAACGTCGTTACTTTGCAACATTGACTCTACCTGCGTGTTGTGCCATAAAATGAAGAAGAAGATTGTCACACTGTTTTTGCCTGAAGTAAAAGTCGGGCGCACAGGATACCGTCAGTCGCTTTTCAATAATTTCGACTTTGACTACTTAGGCTCATTTAACGATTAGCCGGAGTTTCGAGAACGTTGAGATTTTTTGTTCTTTTGTTTGACCACATGAGTTATCCACATAGAATTCGTTTAGTCTATGGACTTTATCTTGCGTAATGGGAGTGGAGAGGTTAATCGCTAGGCGTGGACCCCTATCAAAAATCTGGTGTGACAATGGAACAAACTTCGATATTGCAGAGAAAGAGCTTCTTCTCTGCACTCGATTGTGGCACGACCTCGCACCAGCCGTTGTTGTACAGGATAGAAAGTATAGAAAGTATGTGTTGGCTCGTTAGAAGGGCTTGTACATAATTGCAAGAAATTGTTCAATTCGATCCTCACATGTCGTAAAATGTCTAAAAAAGTCTTTCAGACAATTTTCGGCCTTGTGCAGCAGTTTCTGAATGCATTTCCTCTGACATCCGTTAGCATTGATCCAAATAAACTTAGGGCACTTACACTCAACCATTTTTTGTGGAATAGCCCTCCGTTTCATTTTCTTCTGTCGCAACGGCTGATCACGTTGATCACTGCAAGCGCTACCTCCACGCTTAATTTTTTGTCGCTTCGGCGTGGATTCGAGCCATTCATCGCCATATGGCCATTTAGTTGTGATTAGGTAATAGGAATTAATTACCCTTATATGAACATTTTTGCTTAATAATTTCATAACAGTTATGTAAATGTTATGTAATAGTTGCGTAATTAAATTACGGAAGCTCGTAAAAACGAAAATTATTATCTAAAATTGACCTTGTTTGACTTCGTAGACAGGTTTTTGACAGCAAACTTTCGTGTTTGCTGTCAGTGTTTTGATGCAAAGATGACGTACAGAAACGTTATGTGTTGAATATAGAATGTTATTCCGAACTATTAACTTCAAATCTTTTGTCTGTTAATTTCCATTGAATATCCTAAAGAGAAACTAAGTTTTCGACTAGCGTTCTATCTACCGGGCACGAAGTGAAAGAGAAAACCATTTTAGATTTTCTGATAGACATAGACTACTAAAAACTAACTGAAAATTCTGGCTGAAGCGATTCTTGTTTCAACAAAGTGTTCATTCAGACAAAAAAAACCATGTAGCCGCAATCTTCAAATAACTACAAAATTTCATTTTCGTATAACTAAACATTCGGTAATGTGCACGCAATTTATTATCGTAAACTTGAATAACCTAATTCTGAAGCTGCGAACGACTCAACGGCAATCTTTTATGTGCACATACATGCTAATAGGCCAGTCCCCTGGCTGCAAAGAAAATATTTTTTTTGTCTGAATTTTTTCATGTTTTCATTTGAGCTTGATTGAATTGTCTGAGTGCAGTTTCTAGATGTGCACAAATCTCTCTTCAAAAATTGACTTTTCGATTTTTTTCTTGTTCACCTAGCAGGTAAAATCACTATGCTTGCATAAATTCATGTTCATACAGTGCTGATTTAAATTAACCGGACTAAGAAAAGATGTGAAAACTCAGAACTCTATTAATATTAACACCTAATTTACACTTTATTTTGACATTTACTTAAAATTTTATAACTAATTAACAAATACAGATAAAAATTAAACAAAAATCAACAAATTTAGTATTTGGTTTGATAACCATTATTTTTAAGAACTGCATTTATTCTACGAGGAATGCTCCGATATAACCGATGAATGTAGTCGTCCGGAATTGCCAAAAATGTTTCAAAAACTTGACGAATAAGTTCTTTAAATGTTGTAGGGTGTTTTTCACGAATCTTCTGTTTCATGTAATTCCATAAATTTTCGATAATATTCAAATCTGGAGATTGTGGGGGCCAATTTTCCAAAACTTGAAAACCATTTTCCTGGAAAAAATTTGTCAAAAATTTCGAATTATGGCAACTGGCATTGTCTTGCTGGAAAATTTCGTCCAGATAGATATTTTCCATCAAGTGCGTTTCAAGTAATTTGCAGTATTTGGCAGAATTAATGTTTCCGTCGATGACTACAATATCTCTTTCCCCAGAAAATTTTATGTAGCCCCAAAACATCACCCTTTTTCCTCCAAATTTTGCCGTTGGAGTAATATAGTTGGGATGATAACGCATATTTGGGGGTCGTCTCACATAAATCTTGGCACTGGAGTATAATTCAACGATGGTTTCGTCTGAAAAAACCACATTTTCCCAAAAATTTTGTGGTTTTTCTCGAAAATTTTGGCACCATTTTTTGCGTTTTTTTCTGTTGATGTCCGAAATTTTGGGTTTTTTGGCGCTGACTCGTGCTCTCAGTCCTTTCTTGACCAAAATTGATCGAATTTTGCTGGCGGATAAATACAAAGCTGGTTCAATTTTCATTCGAAGCTCCTGAGACGTCGCAAAAGGATATTTTTTTGCTATCAAATAAATATAATTTTCGTCTCTTTCGGTAGTTTTTTTCGGCCGACCGACCTGTTTGGCGTTACAATAATGTCCAATTTCCAACTTACGGCATTTTTCTAAAAAATCCCACGCGGTAGATTTAGGAACTTTAGTTTTTTTCAATATTCTATGTAAACTGAATTTTTTTTGTGAAAATTCCAAAACTTGGAATTTTTTCCGAAGCGAAAATAAGCCCATAAAAAGGTAGCAAGGTTTTTGTTTCGTTTTTTCAAAGTTTTTTATATATTGTTGAATGTAGCAGGAATCTGTAAAAATTGTTAAGTTTGAATAATGAGAGTTTTTTTTTTAAATATTAACGCCCTGTTCAGTTTTATTTTCACACCTTTAGTCCGGATAATTTAAATCAGCACTGTATGAGGTGAAGGCGAAAAAGTAAACGTTTCGTTGATTATTTTCTCCAAATCAAAAGGCCAAATCTCTTTGAAATTTTTTAACCTGTGCGAGTAGACTGATTGCGTTCAGGAGGAAGGAGAGTAGGTTGAACTCATTGGGAGCCAGTTTCAGCTCGTGGTCTCCGAATCCCCTCACGCCACCCTTCCTGTCCCGGAACAGGGCTGAACAAGTTTTTAAGATTAATGAAAGTAAAAAACAACGAGAAAAGGATAATAAGAAATATAATAAATTAAATCGAACATTATGATGTGAGGAAGAAAAAAAATTGTTGGCTAACATTGAATAAATATGCCATGAGTGAATAAAACATTAAGCGCTTTTAGATTACCTTCTACTAAAATTTAGTCTCTTTTTTGGGGTACGTTTCTCCAAAGTTAGAATTTATATTGAGTTCGAAGGTCGCCTTAACACTTTAGGTTGCTTTGGTCAAAATTATAAGTCGTAAAATAGTGTCAAAAGGAAATTTTTGAGCATTGAAGAAGTCGAAAACCCGTCTTCTTTTTACCAAGCTTGAAGCAAAGAAGGAAGTGGAAACAGAGTGCGGCCACTAGCAGGACCATAGCTATGACCACACTTGCAATGTGAAGACAGGCCACTCCCACAACTCCATCGCCACAGTCCATACAACACTTCAGTGCCAACAATTCTCTGGAGCCATCCTCACTTTCCTTCCTGCAGGTACAAAAAAATAGATATAATTTTAAAATTTGAGACAAATAGAGAAAAAAAGAGAAAATTAGAGACAATCAATGGTGCTACTTATTATTTTTTTCTCCAGCTTTTTGAAAAAAAGTCTTTTAATTAGCGCGCGGTATCGTTCAAAGTTAGAATAAATTGGCGCATTTTCAGGATTGATCGGTTGAAATTTTTGAATTTTTTTTCTTGGAAATTAATATTTGTCTCTCTACAGAATCTATTTAATAAGTCAGTGCAATGAATGAGGCAGCACTAGATTGATGTTTTCTACATTTTTCGCAGTACAACTCTTATACAAAATTTTTACTTAAATAAAATTACACTACAAAAGTTGTGCGCTACCAAAACTAACCAGTAAAATCATGATTACTTGCCTGTTGACGTCATCGTCAACTATAGTAGTGGTACTAGATACTGCTTTCTTGCCATCCATGTCACCACCGTGTAAACTCCGCTTGTGAGACTGGGGTGTAACTCCTCCCACCATGGTTACATTGGAACCATGTCTACTTCTATCCACGCCAATTCCCCCTCCTAGGCCATGACTGATAGGTGTGACGGCCGATGAAGGGTTGCCCCGGTGACGGGTGCCACCTGTAAGATAACTATCATCAAATGAATCCACTTTTTAATAGAACACAAACTAAGTCCGGACAACTAACTGGAATCATGCAACAACTGATAATAACCTGGACTATTTTTCAGCCAATTGATTTCAAGGTGTATCAAACAATCGAGGTCAAAATAACACTTGACACAAAACGAGGCGTAGTAAACGGTGTCAAGTAAAGATTCGAGTTTCTTGTCCTTAATTGAATCTCCCCAGATATTGCGGCGCCCAATCAATTATCATTTTTAGGCTACAACGACAAATGCTCTATACTGATGATCAAAAGAGAGCGTCAAAACAAGTATACCTTATCCACAAAAAAACGCTCACATTTCTTTTTTGAAGGGGTGTGGTACGGCACAGCGTTCCGTGTTTAGCTTAGCTGCACTTAGATAGACGGTCGAGAAAGATATCTCGAGATTGACGTTTGAACTTGTGAACTAATATAACTCTGCTTTGTGTACATTGAAAGATAACCACATTTTTTGTCGGTTTGTATGGTATTTTATCGAAGATAATTCTATTCTCTAAAACAATTCTATTCCTAGTTGGTTAGATTATTTATACCTAGACATATCACAAGGCGCAGCCATGAGTTATAAATCTCAATGAGCAATCAGACCCAGGGGCGGATCTAGGATTTTCTCGAGGGGGGGGGGGGGGGGGGGCGGATTTTCAAAAAATTTTCGAAAATTTTGACGACCTTTTTTTTTTTAGGTCGATCAGATTGATTTTCGGAGCTCTCCCAAAGCAGTAAAAAGACACTGTTTTGGCCAAATTTTCTGCGCCGCAGGCCGAAAGAACAGGTCAAAAAAGCCGTTTTTGGGCACTTTTTGGAAAATTTTGACAAAAAAAACGCGTTTTTTTGGCGCGCGCTCCCCCTCAAAACTAGTATATATTGGCGCCAAAGGCGCCTTTAGAAAATTTTTAGGGTCGGTCGGCCAAAAATGGTTTTCTTAAAAATTACCAAAGGGGGGACCCTTTGGGTTGGCAGGGGTTCGAATCCCTGAGGGGGGGCGTCCGCCCCCCTAAATCCGCCCCTGATCAGACCTATTAGGAGATCCTGTCGATTGGCAAAAAGCAACAGCTGATCCACCTCTACCGTGGAAAACCTGGATCGGACAATTTTTCCTCGCAATCACCTTGAAGGAACATTGCGACCCCAATGATTTCTTGCACCCACCAGATGAAATACTCGACGATCATCCCCCTGGACCAGAAAAGCCATGCGACTCTTATACGAAAAAAATACGAAAAAAAAGGAGAGTTCTGAAAGACGCAAAAACGGGACCAAAAATTGGCCCTAACGTATTTTTTTATGAAGCTGACCAAATAGACAAGTCAAGCTTTTACAGAACTGCGCTCATATAGATCTAACCAAAACCAGTTGTCAAGTATTCTACGAGCATTGTGAATCACTTTTCAAGAAGGAGAAGAATCAAATAGTTGAACGAATGCATTTATACAACTCTTCACAATCCGAGAAAGCTTGCCTTGAGTCCGTTTTCTTACGGTTCATGGGCCAGGCGACCCAGTGTGGATGGTCAGTCGCGATTCAGAAAAAAGTTGATAGTGACCTTTTTATTGCAAACATGCGCTTCGAAGACGTCTCAAAAGAACTAGGTTTTCACCCTGGAGATTTTTTGAAGAGACGAAGAAATCGGCGCTACTTCATGAGAAAAGTTACGCAACAGCATCAACCCTCCAAAGGCAAATGGGTTCTAATCCTTTCACTCGTTCATCAAGTCAACCATTGAAAATTAAGCCAGAACCAGCCTTCTCGATGTAATTGATAATCAAGGAGCAGAATTGTATGTCAAGAGTGCAAAACACTCAGAAATCGAGCAACAATCAGTCAGCTAAATGCAGCAAATCTTGTTGTTTTGCGCAAACGATTTTTCACAAAATCATAGAGCAACTTGCTCCGCAAAAAATGTGATCTGCTAGTCTTTCGACGAGAAATATCATTTGGCTAAGGCAACTCTAAATGCAACGTCGTTAATATTAGCGAAAATTCCGGGTCAACAGCAAAAGAAGACTGCAAACTGTCACTTTCGATAGTAAGACTGAATTAAGTACCTTTTTGATTTCGGGGTCGGTTGATAGCGACCTGCTCATCTAATCTCATCCTCAAGCAACTTAATCCAAACCGAACTCAAAAAAGAAAACTGAAGTAAAAATTTGGCTACGGGGAAGATCCAATGCCTCCAAATCACCCTGAGGGCAAAAAACTTTTATTTTAGGGCGACTATCTACACAGGCAGCCCTGCCTCTTTTCCTCTTTTATCAACAAAAAGACGGCAGACATTTTTGTCCTATTGGGGAAAATGCCAAAATCATTTCTACTTCCGAATCACGTACTGATACTGTTTAATTGGATTAAAATCGCTAAGCCATTCTTATTCACGGTACTCGCCTTTTACCTCAGTTTTTACCTCATATGGGTGCTCACTAAAGAGAGAAAAATTCTGGTCACAGAAAACCGAACAAGATGCATACTTTGGCTGGATCCTCACTCTTTACTGGAAATCCAAACAACTCAACCATTACTTAAATGGTAAGTAATATCTCAAACGATCCTGAATCCGAAAAACCGAGATTCTAGAGAGATACCCACACGAAAATCACTGTGAATTATTTTCTAGAATACGCAGATCAAAATCCGAAAAAGTACACTCGGTCTTTAAGGAGTCCATCATTCCAGTAAAAGAGAAAATCCGACGTATACCTAATCATATCCAGCAGAAGGTGGACGACGAAATTGCAAACTTGATAAAAGAAGGTCAAATCGTTAAGCTCAATGAAGATAACAGCGAACACTTTGTATTGTAGCTCCAGTTGTAATCACAGCTAAGAAAAATGGCACTGTGAATTAACCATGGAGGCAGAGCCGTTAAATGCCCAACTTTTTACAACAGCTGGATATAGCAACTCAATTCATTACTTCGGAAGAAACTGATAAGTTTTGGCTGACGTCATTGGACCTTATATATCCAATTTGCCAACTTATATGTTTCCTAGACGACAGTTTAGAGTATCAAAAGGCTCATTATCACAACATAACGCAACAGTAGATGTGTATCCTACTGAAATGTGATAAAGAACGTTTTGCATTAAGATTGTCGACCTGTGAATTCTCAGTGAACAGATTATCGTGGTAATTATCCTTCAGAAATACTCATACAAATTCAGCCCATCTCTAAAATTTGAGAAAAAAAAATTATTTCCGGACCCGACCAACAGCCAGCTTTCGAAGACACGCTGAAGCTAATATCTGGCATAACTGAAACGTACCGCTGTGACGCAAAAAGGAAATATGACGCTAGTAACGCTGGTTTGGGTTCCGCCCTTGAGCGAGATCTCAAAGATCCTGGGTACCTATATTCATTGCTTCCAGATTCCAAAACGTGCAAGAAACCAAAACAGTACTAGAAATTTCAAGGTTTTAGCATTATTATGGTATTGTGAACTTAACAGAATTTTTTTTTTTTGAGAAATTACTTCGAGACCTTAACTGACCATAAAGCCATCATATGAGCTCTCAAAATCAACCGCGAAAACAAGACCTACGAATCGTGACTTACTATATGGGTAGAGAGACTGATAATATTACTGTTCAATTTCAAAGTATATCATATCGCAGGCTGCAAACTGGGTATTATCATTTACTTCAGCCTCTTATTCATCTCTTTATGATGAGGAATTTGTAGATAATTCGATTGAAAAACTCTTTTAAGCTTGCGGTACGATTGACAATTTAGTAGCATCTGAACGAACTACCAAATCGAACAGAGAAATGGACCTTAATGCCCAGTAAACTTTATCTATTCTACTTCCAAGTCGTTCGGGAACTTTCACTCAACAAATCCGGTGTAAAAAATTCTTACCATTTTTATTCAGAATTTACTGGCCGAAAATTATAATTTTCAATTTACACCGGTTTTCGAATCTTATTCAATCAGATCTAACAGACTTCGCCGGCTTTTTCTGCAAAAAAAGCGGCGAGAACAGGGCTTTCATTCGCAAAAAATTCATCCCTAGGTTTTACCCAATCGAATTTCAACGCTCAAATTTGTAATTAACCACAGGTCCCCAATTATTCAACCAGTAGATTGAGCAATTAATTTGGATACTTTTCGTGAGAGAGCGACCAAATTTTATTTATGATTTCAAATCAAAGAAATTACAGCACGCATTTTAACGCATCTACACATGAGGGAGTTAAAATATCAACTTCATTTTAAGCCAACCCGATTTTAGCATTACAGGGTCAGCAGAACTACTAGAGCGCGTCGAATTAAGCACGGCGTTCTCCGACGAATAAAAGCGGTTCATGCATTTTGGGAACTATTAAAAATCAGACTTTAATTGTCCGTCAATTCTTGTTGGGAAATCCTACCCAACATACCTTAGAATAACTCCAATTCCAACTACCATTTTTACAAAGAATACAACCGACCGAAACCCATTCATTTAAATAACAAAAACTGCTACTTTTCAGGAGTGATATCTGCCTGCAGACTAAACTTAAGCACTCATAGCGATGAAAGCTTTGACCGATTGCTCAATGAGGTAGTTCCGCTCTCCGAATTCGTTCGTGACACGACGCACAGGTGTCCTCAGCAAGACACCTCAGACGAAAGTCGGTGATATCGAAAAGTGTCTCTCTCCGCCAGACGTATGCAACAGCCTTATCCATCTTACGTTTAGCGAGGTATGCAAAACGCCAATCAGTATGAAAGGTCTCGACGAAACACAAGAATAACACATCAGAGGACAGAAGATCGCTACATGGACTTATGGGAAGTCTGGACATCGTTTTCTGGCCAAACTCACATCGGACTACTCAACACTGTAGCTCATTCGACGAGCAGTGAACGCTAAATATTACAAAAGATTTTGCAAAATTGACTTTTGACCAATATACTACATGAACCTGCAATAGGTAATCGCTTATCAGTTCTCCAAAGTCTTCAACGAACAGTGCTGGTAAGACTTCACATGTCGCACGCTGGCAGAAAAGCCCTGATTGACGCAGTCTAATATAATATGTCGGGCGGCTCAGACTTCACAGGGATGTAATCAGCACTTGCAAGGACTGCACTCAATGCACAGTTTTTGGTAAGAAATTAAAGCCTTCCAGTGTGTTTAATTCCTCAAAACCTCTACCTGACCAAAAACTCACCAAACAAAGATTTTAAGTTGGATTCGATTTTTTAGAATAGAATAGTATCTAAAATTTCATTCAATAATGTCATCAAACATATATTTTGCCTCATACGGGACCACAGAGGTTGCGGTCTGGTCAAAAAATCACTTCAGATCATTTCAAAGCGCAAATGGGGTTGGTAAGACTAAACTTATCAGTTCTGACGGAACAGTCTAGCCTATGGAACTCTTCGCTTTCGGTCGCTTCCGGAAAAAAATAACCCATCAGATTTTCGAGACTCTCTCAAATTACTCGTTAACAGTGTTCGTCTAAAATAGAATTCAGGGGCCAATATTACACATTTCGAACGTCATTTTGGCAGGAAACTTAACACACCATGGTCTTTTTTTCTAGATAAACTTTACTAGTAAAATAACTTAGATAAAGAACACTTGACAAGAGACGCACCAACCGTACACAAACGCTGAAAAACCTACGACAGCTGGTCAAGAGTTAAAATTGTGCATAAAGGGTAAGACTGCAGAGACTTGAGCTCTCAATTCAGAATGAAGTCAACATAAATGGCAAACACTCTCTGGTACAATTGCTTGAAATCCTTCGTCAAATTTGCCAGCGAATGGATGGTCCAGAAGAAGACACTCTGCATAGACGAAGGAGCTTTAGCATTGAAGTCTCTATCGAATAAACACTTGCCACTTGCCGTCTCTTTACGGAACAGTCTAACCTATGAAACTCTTCGCTTTCGGTCGCTTCCGGCCAATACAACCAACGTGAAAATGTCAAGTAAATTGGAAAATACCCATCATTCGGCGACAAATCGGGTGGAAGTTTTTGGAACCGTTTAAGATCGCAAATCGTGAAAGCCTCTATTTGAAAAAATTTTCCGGAAACAAATATCAAATTACTAGTAACACTTTCATTACATCGAACTGGAACATTATTCAGAAGAACCGCATCTCTATCAGGTTAAAATGAATCAATAACTCTAACGAACCAGCCCTACAGCCTTCTTCAAAAACAGGCGAGGGCCACAAAATCTCTGCCAAATAAACCCACCAATCGTCAACATCCTCATCTGATAACGAAGTCCTACAACCGCCAAAATCAAAATATGACAGCAATCTCCAAAACAACATCTCCCAAATCTCCAAAATCATATCACTTCAACCAGCCAACAAGCTCAAAACTCCGCAAAATTGCACCGAAACCTGCATCTCAGGTTTTAGACGCTCCATTCTCTCGTTGAATAAGACAGCCCAACTGGTAGAGTTAACATAATCTTCATCGAGCTCGGGTGGGGTGATCCCACCTCCTGTTGTGACGTTGTCGCCTGTTGAGAAAATTGTTGCTGTTTCTCTTCCTATCAAGAGAAAAGCACTAAAGCCGTCAGAGCACATGATAAGACATTGGGACAGCTTATCCCAATATCATCCACAGAAGAGTCACCGTCAAACTCGCAGCCAAAACCATTAGATTGCCGCCCCATCTTAGTGACAAAAGCTCCAGACGCCATATCGCAGCTCCAAAAGCTACCACCTCTGCTCTAACTGTTTCACCTGCCAAACTACCAGTGCAAGACAAAGACGATCAAAATGACAATACCTCTCTGACATTGACATCTTCCGAACGGAACAAGCGTCAAACGCAGTTTCTTGGCAACCCAGTCAGGCACGCGATCAAAGCCGTAGAAAAACTACACCAAAAGGATCTACCCTGGATGACTCGGTCCCCGTCTCAGCAGGTAAATTAGATTCCTCGCCAGTACATATTAAAAATTAAAGTTTTTATAAAGAGTTCACCAAAACTCTAACTTGCTCAAATTCTTGAAACTTGAACTGACACTGCGTGAACTTTGCGCTAAATGTATTCATTTCCCAAAAAACTACTTTTCTTTTTTGTGGAGGGGTAAGAGTGGTACCGCATAGCGTACCGTTTTTAGCTTAGCTGTATTTAGATAGACGTTGAAATTGAATGTGACGAAGTCGAGAAAGGTATCTTTGGAACTTTTATCACTCTGCCTTATGTACGTTGAAAGATAATTACATACTTTTGTCGATTTGCATTTTACTTTATTAAGGATAATTCTTTTCTTTTAAACTTTTAAACAATTCTTATTCCTGCGTAGTTAAATTAGATATACCTAGTCATATCACAGAATGACAAACTGAGAAATATTCAAAAATTTAACGTTTTTTAGGGTGCGAAAGAGATTGTAAAACGAAAAAAAAAACTTCGTTTTACAATTTTGAGTGTGAATATTCCTATAACTACTAACTGTTGTCGGTCAAAGGCATGTTTGCTGATTCGGAGGTGGATAGTTTTCCTTTCAGTTGTGACTGTTGTGGCTGATTTATGTCGATCTGATCAGCACGAGGCCATGCTTCCATTATATGCTAGCAGACAGATATAGTAATTCAACTCTCTCCTCGCACGCCCATGAAAGAACCATAACTAGAGCCACAAGTGTATTTCAGCTCATGAACTTAGTCACTCTTTTCGCCCATTTACTGCTTTGAGAGAGAGGGGGTCAAGTTCAAATTTAGCACTCATTTATTTGCACATATCTATTCAAATCAAAACTCGAGAATAAAAACACTTGTCTGTACTAATTCATAGAACTTATAATTTGTAAACTGGAATCAAACTTAAGTCAAAGCATAGGAAAAATAGGTTTAAGCCATCAGCTTTTTGATGAACTGCTGCCACTATCAAAGACTGATTTTGGATTAAATCTTCCAAGTGGCGTGCTTTTTTCTAACTGTTTCTCTCTTTATCTGATGTGCAATGCAATATTGTACCAGGTGTTATATCCGCTTCGCTAATCCCTAAGTAAGACATTCATTTTCCCTTGTCAACAGTCAGTCGGTCATGTAAATGATATTCAAAAACGACTATCCGCGTAATCGATGTTGCGTGAGGTGGCGAGGAAATATTCATTGTCCATAGAAAATTTAGTCTTAATAAAGTCAACTCAGAAAAGCGGGTCTTCGTATTAAGTTGAACAGCTCGTCAACTGGCCTTTCCCATCTAATTATCATATCTATATCCTTATCCTACCTTTCCTAAAATAAGCAAACAAGTTTGTGTCGAATCTGAGACAACTTTTTTAAAAATTTTCTTTTGGAGTCTGAATTCCAACTGAAAAGGCTTTAACGAATTCACACTCGACTCTCTACGAAGTTTATCTGAAGTAGACCAAATATATCGGAGAAACCATACCCAATTCCAAGATTGTCTCTGATTAGTGAAATGAAAAAAAAAAATCCGGAAAAATCCGATTGAATAGTATCCAAGAAAACTTTCGGCAATACGATCACTTAAACGAAAATTATTATTTACAAACGCATTCAGAAAAAAACAAAATCAAACTAATAGTTCTGACTTTTTTTCCATTAAAAAAATGCGAAACTTTTTTAATTGAGACGAAAAGTCTGCTACATGATCATTTTAGGTTTCTTGCACAGAAGTTTTTTTTACTATTGTAGGTTTGATGTAGACCACTTTTTTGGTCGAGGTGAAGGATATAAGCGTAAATTGTAGATTAAAAAAATGTTGTTTAATTCAAAACTATGAAAAAAAATAACGCGAATAAAAAACCTACAAAATGTTTGGTTCACATTTTTATGAACGCTTTGCATCTGTTAGTAACATTCGAAGGCGGTTCGGTTCGTACAGCGCTCAAAAAATTTTCATAGATAAACTCAAGCAAACATATTTCACTAAGAACTCTCAAAAAGGCGTAAAATACACTAAACTAATTTTAGGGTGGCGTCCCTCATGCTTGAAGGACAGAATGCTTGATATTAATTTTAGCTTACTTTTTCAGCCAATCAGAAATGAGTATTCAAAATCTTGGAGTAAATCGCGAAAATCTCAAAATTAGAAAACAAATCCAGGCCATTGGTTCTAATATTGACCGATTAGATAATAAGCAGATGAGTTTTCAAGACTGAAAAATGCTTATGGTTTTGAACTCATTAATCTTGATGGTTATCTGAATAGTGAAGCGGTTGTAACCCGCATTTTGTAATATTTTTGATTATTTTCCACTGATTTAATACCTTTTCTGTTAATATTGACTTCGATTTTGTGAGAAAGGCATTTAGCCAATAGAAATGCTTATTCAAAAATTTTTCATCGGAACAATTTTAATGGTAAAAAACTATAGTTGGTAGTAGTATTGTATCGTGTCCCGGATCCTAAGGGGGGGTCCTTCCTAAGGGGGGTCCTCACGTAAAGCAAAATCCTAGGAAAGGGGTCCTTAATTTTTTGGAGGACCCCTATCCTAGGATTTTGTAAATGATCGCAAGTTCCCACCCCTAAAGTAAAAGACCCCCTCCTTAGGATCTTGTTAAGCTGAGCTCAACAACCGGGACGCGATACAATAATTCCTTCTAATTCCTTTGAAAGCGGTCCCTTTTCCCGCGATAATTAAAATTAATCGTCCTAATTCCTGAACTTTTCTTTTTTCGTCCTAGTTTCATGTGGATATCATTTCCTGGCTTTCTTTCTTTTCGTCAAAGATTTGTCATGCTATTAAAGTTTGTTATTGAAAACAAGCCTAAGGATTTCACACATTTGTTTGAATTAACACTTGGTTTGCGTCTACTAGTTTATTTGCCTGAAGCTATTTATGTTAAAACAGTGATTGAGCTCAATACGAGTTTTTTATTGGTTGTAAATTGGTAAAAACCAAAACATATACAAGTCGAAGTATAAAAAGGACGAACAGTAAAAATCATCTGAAAATATATGTTTCAGACTTTAAGGTTTATTGTTTTGGTTTTCTTTGCGCTGTTTCTTAGATGGTCGTTCTTCTGAAGCTTCAGATAAAAAAACTGGGTTTTTTATAGGGGGACGTTCACGGACTCGGCTACTAGAAGCTTCTTCTATTTCTTGCAGCTCTGCTTCTGAGTAGGGCCGCTGTAAAAATCCCCAATCCGGAAATGTAAAATCGGGAGAACTGTTATCAGTTTCATTGTATGAGTTGGCCCACTCGGTGTCCATGTAAATGTCTTCTAGAAAAGCATTTTCTTCAGCGGCTTTATGGCCAAAGGGCACTGTCGAAATTCCGTCGAAAAGTAGAAAACGTTTTGAGTCGAATGGTGATAATGCAAGTTTGTTTTGTTTCACTGTCATTTTGGTGTGACCTTTCGAAACTATATTATAGTTGTACACTCTCATTGTTTTTCCAGTGAATAATGTGTCCCTGAAGGTTTGGTGGACCTGTTCTCTCTGTGCACTCCGTTTAATTCCTTTGGCACTCAATTTTTGAGTGCCTTCTAAACAGAAGCAAAATTATTATTCTTTTCTACAACGTAGGGGATAGCTTCATTTCACTTCAGCAGCTCAATTTATACCGAACAAAATTTGATTCATTTTACCAAAAAAGAGCAGAAGACTCTAAATTCTGATTAAAAAAGAGGAAAAAAGAGGGAATATGTTGTCAGATAAATCAACATTTAGGCAACATTGTATAATGTTGCCTAAATCAGCTAAATGCCCATAGTTTAATGCAACAAATTAAGGGGTGTAGGTAGGTTGGTGGTGGTAATTTTGTTCTGTAAAAGGTAGGAATGGGGGTGGAAGGGTGGCTTAAATTTTATTTACCATTAAGAACGACCGAATATAGTTTCGGTTTTAGGGCGATGAATTCTCTGATCGGCTTCCCACCAGTCTCGTCTTTGAACTTCAGCACAACTTTCTTGTTGGTATCCTCGAACAAGAAATGGTCCTTATCGTAATTTGAAAAGTCGATATCAGCTTTTATTTTCTCCAAGTCTCGGTAAACGTCATCAGTTTTTAAAGCGTAAATAAAACTATCCGTGTCGGAGTAAAGGAGTTCCAAGTTTAGATTTGGTTTCATTTTTTGATAATGAAACTGAAAAATGAAACGCTTGGCGAGGTCTAGGATGGTCGCACCAACTATCATAGGTTTATCCCACAATATTTTTGTTACTGAAAAGCTAATTGCGGCTAATTGATCGTCAATGATTTGAAAGCTTTTCATTGTGCTCAGAGCTGTTTTTTGTAAAAGTTCTCTCTCATTCCTTACAATCTCCAGCTTCTTTCTTCCTAACTTAGACTCCATTGTCTTACCGAAAGCTGAATTAACAATTAGCTTGTAGAAGTTCTCCTGGAATTTATTTACCGGGGCTTTTCGTAGGCGGGTGTAGAGGTCGACAAAGGGTGCCATCCAGTGACTTTGGCGGAACTGAAGAACTTTTCCGAGGTGAGTTATTTTCATTCCGAGCTCATGGTACAATTTTAGGGTAAGGTAGTGCAAAACATAACCTTCTTTAGGATGCAAGGTCTGTAGAAGCTTTGGCACTTTTGGCAGTGTGATGATTCCCAATTTTCCCAACATGTCGACTTGCTCGTTGCTCATTGCACCGATGTTCACTACTTCACGAGAGGGGGCAAGGAGGTAATCAGCAAAGAAGTCGTGAAGCTCTTCGGGTATGGTTAAATTGACTTCAACTATATAACCCCACTCTGAGGTTTCGCTGGTGAGCAGTATGTCTGCCAGACTTTTTTCAACTATTGAAAAATCGTTTAAGGGCAAAGGGCAGTGTTTCATTATCCCCCCGTACAAATTGTTTGCATCAATATTGAGGATGTAGCTTGATGGTTCTGAGGGCAAAAAATCGTCGAGGTATTTATTGTTTGCTTTGTAAAATCGGCGCGCGTAAACCGACGACATGCCTCCTCGTATCATTCGCTGCACAAGGTCTAGATGTTCACGGTCCGTTAAGAGTTTCAGTTCGGGCTTACAAACTTTTAGAAAGGCGTCCCCGGAAAGGTTACTTGCCGTGAAGTAACAGGCGCAATCCAGCCCGTATGTTTGATAGCAAACTTCACGAAAAGCTTCGAAAACGGAAGCAAGCAATAGCACATCTGTAGTCAAGTACAAGTCGTGGTAATCACCAAGTGAGCCACACTTCAGTTCGGTGAAAACTTTAAGGGCATGATTGTACTCGCTTCTTGAAACACTCACATCCCCTCCTGTTAGACTATTTTTCCACATTGCTCCTGGGGGAAGGCGAGTTTCTCGGAATTTTTCGAATGAGTTGAAGTATGAGTAGGGTTAATGCCCTTTCTGTTTCAACAGACTGACTTTTTCACGTGAGTGGCCGAGTTTTTCAAAATAGTTCTCCAGCAGAAAAAACTTTTCGTTGGGCAAATTATCGACAAGTTTTGCCAACGATGCTAGCATGAACCTATACGAATCGATGAATCTCAGATTTTCGTAGATTTTGTTGATTTTTCCGTTTTTGTCCGTGTACGTTTTTATGTAGACTGAGATTGTCAAGGATATATATTTTTCTTCAGATGCGGACTTTACGGAAAAAGTGTTTTCCGAATCGCTTTTTGCCAGCGCTTTGATTATAAAGTGTAAATCATAATTTGACAAATTATGAGCTACCACTGGAATGTAATTTGTTGTTTTTCTATTAACGTTACACTCATTGTGTGCCCAACCCAGGAACTTGTTGGTGTAATGGCAATGATCAAGTACCACTTGATCATTGTCGGAAAAATCATTCTCGCATATCCAACAAATTGTAGCATCTTCCCGTTCCTGGTCTGTTATACCAGTGAAAGTGTAATATTTCCTTTTTTCTACGTAAATTTGTCTCGCTAACGATTCAAGGGAGCTAATTAGCTCTTCCATCACATTTGGTCCTTTTTTAAGCTCAAATTTTAACAGGTCTTTTTTCCCAAATTCGATTACTGCTAACGCGTAGCCGCACGGTTGATGGAT